GACGATACCCAGTCATCTTTACGTGGGGTACGTCTGACTAGCACCAGACCTGCTCATGGCACTGAGCTTTTTGGAATGAACCTCGACTCCGCTTTTGCGTGCTAATTAAAAGGACAGTAGCAGTTTTCCTCGCTGAGTAAATTCTATTGTTTTGGTTGTTTATTACGTATCAAAACTACCATTTTCACTTTAATTGAATTTATTTCGGTCAAAGTATTCGATTAGAGTATTGTTTCTGTTGCTATAGCAGGTTGTCGTCGGTACTTTTGAGTACTTTGTTTTCTATTGTATCTGCTAGTACTTCTAGTTCTAACGATCTACAGTTTTCCAATTTTTTTGGTCATATATCATTTTTGTCTCTGAATATTATTGTATCTAGTTCTTTTTTGGGAAAAAGGCCCCAGTTTGATGACTGGACAGTGCAAAAAAAGCAATCGCCAACGTCCGGGTTTTCGTTATCCCGTTGAAAGTGGCATGCAGTGCGATGAGTGCAAAGGCTGGTACCACGAAGTTTGCACGAATTTAACGCTTTTAAACGGTTCAGTAGAAACCGTTGCTTATGGCTTTGTCAACAGTGCTGTTGGGATACAAACAGCTTGCTAACCGAGGCCATCTCATTGGTAAATGCTGAAAAAAAACGTTTTGACAAGCGTGGTCGAGACACATCGAACGGTACTCGCTCTGTCGACACGCAAATCGGTGTGAAGCAAACTCAGTGAGTTCGAAAACAGATGACTCACACCGATCAAAGGAGGAAAACCGTCTTCAAAGAGGTTTGTCATTACCTCAACACGTGGTAGAGGCTCCATCTGTCGACCCTTTCAAGAGAAAGTTGAATCAACTGAGAGACCACCGTCGTCAAGACTAACGCAGACCATCAAGCCTCATGTCCTTTCCAAACTGAAACTGAAATCTCTGAGAATCAGAACAAAAACATACACTGCTGTGGTGTTTGTATGAACTAATGATTCTTTTGTTCTTGCGGCCTGCCAGATCTAGGATTCCAAATCCAGTATGTTCGTTTGTGCCCATCTAGGTCTGTTTGGTTTAAATTTCACTGTTTCTGGAATCCTTAGTCCGTATAATACTTCTAATTATCGCAAATACACAGACGTCTCTATTAGTAATAACCCCAAACAGTCCCCCTATTTCCAACTTGAAACATACAACCTCCTTCATTACCCATAACAGGGCCAAGATGGATCATAGCATACAAGAAAATACAGCAATGGCCTATTTGGGAACCCATATAGACACTACCTAAGTCAAACAGCTCTACACAACTCTTCCTCTCTCGACTTGACATATACACTACTTCATCCTCTTTTCACCCTTTTCCTCTCGACAGTCTTGCTGTGGGGTCTCCAAACGTCGAAGGTGATAATCCCACACTTTCAAGACCATTCTTTATATACTCTAACCTAATGGGTGATGAGAAATCTTCCTCTTCAACGACAACTGTCCCTAGCCTCAAAAGCTCTTTGACTGAACCTCCTTACGAGTGCCCAAAGATATCACTTATCCATTCACTCACTCCAATTCACTTATCAAACCTAAACATGCTTCTTACGACAAACTACTCTCAGACTACATTTTTCCCATTGGCTATAAAGACAATAAATCAATCAAACATAAATATTAAGCTTATACTCCTTCTTCTTTCTCTTCTCCCCATGAAAATCAAGCAACCCACTAGGTTTGTATTACACTCATCTACTATACAAATATTTATGGTATCTGACACTAATGTTAATTGGCGCTCGATCCGTACGAAAAAATTGACTCATTTGTTCATCCTGGTACTTCTGAACAATCCCTAGTTTCTTTTGACGATAAATTATTGGTTGTCCTCCGATGTTACAACTCATACCTTCAAACAGACCCATGAGCTCTTGTGTCGTGATGGAGTCACTAAGGATGATGGTGATGGTCATCTTATAAAAACATCCAAAAACACGAGAGCGGAAAGCATAAGTGATACTGTCCTCAGCAACTTACCTCACTCAACACGGCTTACTGTACATGTTAATGAATACGAAATACAATTTAGATCCACGTATAAAATCCAAACACTCCTAGCTGAACTACAAGTTAGTTACTTGATAGGGCCGTCTCTCTTATTTTAGACTGAAAAATCATTCGTGGTGATTTCAATCTTTCCACCGTCAGCTGGAAGACACTCTGGTTCAGTGTATTTATTTTCTTAGACATACACGGTTGGAAGAAACATGTACACCTGCCTTCACGAAACCATGTCATTCCCGACTTCATATTCCGTCTCAATGTCACTTGGTGCGCCATTTGAAACGGGCAGTGGTATTGTTTCTCGTTGAGTTAAATTTACTGTTTTGATTGTAAACTGTCACTGTTTCCACTTTCATTGAATTCATTTCAGTTAAATTGATATTGGACCTGTCACTTCACTGTCTATTCTGACCAGTCTTATCGTAAGAATTTGCAATTTGTCGTTTGGCGTTTCTAAAGAGCACAATGAGGTTAGAGATAGACTAATATATTTATTGTGAGTAAAGGCAAGTCATCCTTTGTTGACCTTCTATTTATGCTAACTGTTGAATGGACATTTTCCTAGTTATCTAATGTTCAGCTTTGAGGATTGTGTGGTTAGGATCAAGGCCACTAAAACTTCATATGAAAACATACTGCTAGGAAAAGCGTGTCATTTATAAATTATATATTTTAGGTTACATAGCAAGTCAACGCTAATTAGTTGTTCTTATTGTTACTCTTGTAATCTCATAATTGTCATGCACTATTTTGACGACTACTTCCGCGTCATGATTTCTAATATAGTCAGAGAACTTCAGTGACTTTTTTCAGACCATTTTGAAAGTGCTGACATCTCCGAGTCAATAAACCTGGACGTAATCTGAAGAATCAAAAGTGTTCAGCATGTAAACCGACACTACCTATTCTCATATACTTAAAACCCGGTGAAGAGCATGAGTTGTTGTTGTAATGGTTTCGTTATATCCCGACTTAACAATCATGTAACATGAATGATATAAGTGATAAATCTGAAAGCAAAATCAGTTGATAAACTGACTAATAATCAGTTCTTCAAGCACAGTGTTGTTTCCCCGTAGTTATCTTTACCCATGACCGATATTTTCAGTAAGTTTACCTTTCGGTTGCTTCAGCGGGACTTTGTCAATTTGATTAAAGTTTGACGACAGCCATTTATAGATTTATACATCATGACATATTTACAATTTTAGAATTAGGTCTCTTATTATCATAGTATTATTAACGAAGTAGACTATAATTCTATGAAGTCATTAAGTCTATCATATTTGGAATAGGAGTTTGGTAGTGACGTTTCTGTGATATGTTGCATATTATTGATCTAAATGAATACAAAATGGTACATGCTGTAAAGCACCTCAAACATTATAGATTATCTAGTGATCTAGTCAAGTAGGCCTGGACCATTTTCAGAATTCGTTAACATTTCAGGAGTTCACTGGCTCGGTTTGTTGTAGGCGTTCACAGAAATTTCGTTCAATGCTTTCATCTAATTACTCACTGCTTTCTTTACTTTGCGGAAGAATCCAGGTAGCCTGAGCTCCTAACTCACCTCAGCAGAAAATTCTTCGTTTCTTCTCGGCGTACGTTTGGAAGGGTGAGAGTTAGATTTGGTAAGGTTTGGATGTTCCGCGTGTATATTCCGGAGCTTTGCTTTGGTCGCTGGAGAAGCTCTTACCATATGTACAGGAGCGATGTGACTTCCTCTGCCTTATATGTAAATCGAAGTTTCGTCAAGTGTCGAACATCGTTTCTTGGTGTCGACTAGAAGTTCATATCCCTACCAGAAGTCTATTTACAGTATTTCCATGTCTAAATCCAATAGAGTAAATACCCAGAGAAACGGCAACATAAACACCGAATTTAGCATCAATGATTTCCGTCCAAATGTCGTGATTTCAGTGTAGCTGGTAGCTTGAAGTGTAAGTGGAGAAAATTTTCGACCAAATTATTCTGAGGAATGAAACTAAGCGCAGTACTGATATCCACTAAACTATCTGTGCCTGAAGTTCTGTTTTTAAAATAAATCACGCCACTGTTTAAGCGCTTATCCTCAGCCGTGGATATTATTCGCTTCCCATATTCATGGGAGTTTGTTTAGTCCACGGATGTAGTGGATTTAACTAGCTACTACACGTTGATGATGTGAAAATGTAGTGAGAAATCAGAGAAGACTCAAATGTGTGTGCACTTGAAGCGCACTTATATGTTCTGATCAGCTGGTCAGAAAATGGCTGATGCCCATTAACACGACCAGGTATGTCTCCATGCACTTTGAGGATACAAAAGTTAATAGGTACAGAATAGGGGAAGTGCTTGTACCCGTGGTCCACTCTCACGAGGATCTTGAAGTGACAGTGGGTCACCATCTTAAAACCATGGCTCACTGCCGGGAGTTTTCATCTAAGGGGTTAGGAACGCTACGGGATATAAGACGGAGATTTATCAGGTTAGATACTACAATGTTCACTATAGTAAACACAACCTTAGTGAGAACTGAACTTGAAAACTACATTCAGATTGCAAGCCCCTGTTGAAATGGTGACTCGGATAACCTGGAAAAATACAAAGGGCAGATACCCGTGCAATTCCAGAACTCCAGGTTTTACCATGCAAAGAGTGACTTGAAAGGCTAGACCTGTTTACTCAGTCTTACCCAGATTAAGAGGTGATTTGACTTTTATGTATGAAATATCAAGAAATGATTTTGAAGCTTACATATCTCCTACTTCTTGCTGTCAGATCGAGAGAACTCAAAGGACATACAGGCATGTAAAAAAAGCCAAGAATGAACAAAATACCATGACATACAAGTTTTCATATCGAGTCGTTAATTCTTGGGACTAGTTACTTGAAGAACTAGTATTCACCCCCTCAATTAACTCAATCAGGGAAAAACTAAACACTCGCCTACCAGAAACTGGATGACATAAAATGTGGGCCTTTGATCCTCAATTCACGAATCCGAATCTAAATTTACCTTGAGAATAAAACCATGAATGTAAATGTATACCACACATGCTGAAATCAAGTATTCATTCAAAGGCAGTGTAATATTTTGATTGAGATTTTTGTTCATATTACGGGCTCAAAGCACAGAATTTAAAAATTCTTACTTACTTAATTGTATATTGGACGGATGGTTTTAGTTTTAATACCCTATTTACATGATAAAAAAACGTGTAGGGTACGAGTAGTTTTACAAGTTTCAGCTGTTCTGACGGAGTTGCAACTTATACCTTATAAATCTTCTCTTCCTATCAAGTAACAGTAAGTATATAATATTTGCCATTAAGTTGTAGTGTGTGAAGCATTCGTTACTTTAGCAACAAATGATGAATACGCATGTGGTGCTCTTGTTTGGGCACATTCATTGCGTGACGTAAAGACCACGAGACAGGTTGTGTGTTTGACAACAAAACAGGTTTCAAAGCAAATGCTGTATGAATCAATTGCTATTATTGTATTATTCTTAGAGATATTATGGGGTCTGTATTTGACCATGTAGAATTCGTTGATGTACTTGATAGCAAAGACGAAACGAACTTAGCATTACTTTCGAGACCAGACTTGGGGGTAACTTTCACAAAGCTTCATTGTTGGAGATTAACTCAGTATACGAAAGCTGTTTTTATGGACGCTGACACTATGGTAATTTACATTATTGGTTGCTGATATTTGAACTAATATTGATTTTTAACATACAACTCACTTGCACGGAAATTTATTAGGGTTTAAATAAAATAGCTAGCATTAGTTAAAGTGATACTGTGATTTCATGCTTCTGTATATGATTTTAAGTAGTAATGAGTTTTTTGAACTGACTAACTGCTTTGGTTGAGTCATTCGCCAGCTACAAGTCTTAACGACCTTAAACTGATTGATCTGATGTATCGTTCTAGTGTTATTTGTAAGTTAGTGCGTAACAAACTAAAAACGCTTGACATCCCTTGCTTGCTGTACTCATTGACGATGTCGTAATATATTGGTACCTTTTATGTTCCTTTCATTTTATTCAAAGTTTCTTCACCCAACGTGTTCTCTGACTTACACTAAGTCTCATTTTAAGTTTGTAATGATAGGTTTACACAGCACATATCTGCAATATTTATCTCACATTTGTGCACCGAACGTGAATTATGTCTTTGCCTTACTGTTTACCTCAGTAACTATGATGTTTTTTTTCAATATACGACGTTCTTATATTGAGCACTAAGTATCTGTAATGGGAGTGATAAAAAAACACGTATTGCTGCTCTTATACAGCGAGTGGTTTTAGTCTGCTCTGTTTGTACTACATCTGGTGATTCACTAAACTTACGATATAGTGTGAATGAATTGATTTAGTGATCATTGTGTTAATCTTACTTTAAACGAAGACGTAGTTATATGTAAGATAACATTTTGTTGCTTGAGTCTACAAAATAGGAGCTTGTTACTTTCGTGAAAGAAGTGCTTAGTCCCCTCGTTTGTTTCTTGTCTAGTTTGATATTTACTGACTTTTAAGTTTTGTTTACACTTTCTTGTTTCTTGATAACGTACAAAGTTTTACTTTGATAGTAAGTGAGAACGTTCAAAGGTCTAAAACATTGTACCACTAGACCATTGAATTGTTTTTTCTCATATACAGTGGTTCGTGTTGCATTTACATAGGTCGAACAGACTTTGGATCTACTTTTTTCATTATTTCTCATGTTTCATAGATTCATAATTTCCTGAATTACTACATTATTTTAATTTGTAGTTTATTATTCACTGATCATTCCGTATTAAAAACACCATGTTGTAACTTAACAGGCGTGGCCCATTTTTATGTCTGACTTTTAACAAATAAAACGTTGAAATGTGCCTGTTTCCCGTTTGTGTGTTTTATACTAGGTATTAAAAAATATTGATGATTTATTTGAGCGGGAGGAACTCAGTGCTGCTCCGGATCCAGGTTGGCCAGACTGTTTCAATTCCGGAGTTTTTGTTTTCAAACCGTCATTGGAAACATACAAAAGATACTAAGTTTTGCTGTTAGCCATGGAAGCTTTGATGGGGGCGATCAAGCAAGTTTTAATATTTTTACCATGATAGTGGAGAAAATTTGCTACTTAGGTGTATGCTTTTAGTAGAGTTTCGTTTTCTGACTTGGGTGGTTTGGTCTTGGAGCCCTCGTTGTTTTTCTGAACGATATCATTAGCAAAAACTTGAGGTAAGAGTGAAGGGTTCGCATTTCTTACATACGACTCAGACTATCCTATCGACCTTGATCGTTTATTGTCGACGTTTAACCTGTTGTTGTCTGTTTCTTTATTTTGTTTGTATCTTCTTTTGATCTGATCCTCACTCCTATATTTGTCTACGAGTTTTCCGATTCGTCGATGGACTGGATAGATTTAACTGTGTTCGTTGATTGCTGAGTGACTTGAGCACCAAGCTTCTAGAAACTCCCTAGTGTTCTAGGTATTCCTCCAATCCATGATTTCAACATTTGTCCAGTCAAATGTGTCCATAGTTGTCCATATTGATTGGTGTAACCGAAGGTATGTCATGGCGTATTACCGCCAATTGATGTTCATCCAGACGAAGATAGAGGGGTCGTCCATTTTATCCTATGTAGTGTTTTATGTAATCATAATGGTTTATTCGTAGGTGACGTTAAGTTTTTCTTCTTTTTTTTTCATTTCATCTTTTGGTTTGGATAGGATTTATCGAAGTGGTTCTGCTGATTGTGCCTTACGCCTTCAATAATCGCGTTGTAATTTCTGATGTTTTTACGTGTGGTAGAATGGTCTGTTCGCTAGTTTCTATACTCGATTTCGTTTCTACAGATGAGTTGGCTTGACGTTTGTTTCTGGATTTGTGCAGTGAGCCGTTCTTTTGAAAGATATTCATCAAACATTCTTTCGCTCTGCAGTATATTTACCCCTCCTCTCGACTAAAGTTTGTACGCGGTTGATTTTGTAAATCCTTGAGTTGTTGCCACCGTAGTTGAGAATTTGGTCTGTGTAGGTTGGCTTCCTATATACCTTAGTCCTCCGTTTTCCTGTATTGGTTCTGGTGATCAGTACACCCAAGAATGATAGTTTGTTGTTCGACTTCTTTTCTATTGTGAATTTTATATAATCGAAGACGTTGCTGATCAGATTGTGGTTATTCTTCAGCTCTTCCTTTTTGGTGTTGATGAATGTGTTGTCCACAAAACGAATCTACATTTATGACTTGAACGTTAGTAAAATCGAAGCTTTCAGTCTCTGCATTACTACTTCTGCGATAAGTCCTGATATTAGTAATTCTATCGGTGTTCCTTTTGTTTATTCGTAGATTCTATTGAGTCAAAAATATATTGTTAGGCATTAATAGATGAGTTGTAGTAGACTTTGAAGCCTCATTTACTTAGGGAGATTCGTATCATTTTTGAGGAGCAGGAATAAAGTTTCTTTTGCCAAGCTTGATTCAGTTGAGGTGAGTAAGGCTGCTACGTCGGAGCATATAATCATTTTGTCGTTGTTGATCTAAATCTCCTTAGTCCTATCCAAGAATTGTATGGGAGGTTTGATGGAGTGATTGAATGAATCCACTTAATGTTTAAATATTGAAATTTATTGGTACTTTATATGTTGATGTTCCGGGACGTAATACGATTGGACCTAGTGGGATGTTTGGTTTGTATATTTTTGGCCTACCGTAGAGCCGGAGTACAGGTCTACTAGATTTCATTCTTCATTGATCTTGATTTGATATTTGATCTGCTTTAATAAGTTTGTTTAAGATCCTTGATATTTACTTGTGTTGATTGTTTTATATATGCTTTTATTCTCAGGTAGTTCGTCGGCTTTACTGATATACTCTTCCTTATAGTAGGCCTTTTCCCCACTAGAACTATGACAATATATTTTCTACTTCTGAGTTTCTTTAAGGCCTTTTGTTCTTGTGCGGTCGGTTAGGTATTATCTTCCTTCCTTCGAGTTGGTGGTACTATGGTTTGGCTTATATCCTGTTGAGTTTCTTCATTCTGGCAGTTTTGGGTGGTAATTCTAGTGCGGCGAAGGATTCTGGTTCTGAGGCGTCACTTGTATTGTAATCTAATCTTTTTGGAATTGTTCTTCAGAGGTTGTTTTGATAGGTTGACCACGCGATTGTTTGTGTTTTCTTCTGTGGGTGACTTTCAAATCTCGATAGATTTTTCTTTAAGGGTGTTTCTTCTTCGTTCTCTGTGTTATCTGCTTGATACCTTAATCTCCATTGTCCTTCTTTGGTCATCCATGATGTGTTGGTATTTGTGGATTCTGTAATGTGCATAACTTACCATAAGGTGTACCATTCTCCTTCCACCTTGGTTAGCTATTAATCGTCCACTCTGTCAGTTGATCGATGTTCCGTACCTTACACTTTTTAGCAAACATGCGGATGAAAATACTCTTGGATAAGGTAAAGTTCTCGAGTGGAAGCCTGTCTTTTGGCGAAAAGTTCCCGTTTTCGAACGACGAGGAGCGCGCTTTACTCATATGATTTTAAAATGATGGAGAAGATTTGTATTTCATGTGGGTCCGAAAAGGTTAAGGACAAATATAGGACCAAGAATCAGAATCAAAATAAAGGGGCAGATAACAACACGTTGAAGGTTGACAGGAAAAGCTGAGTCATATGTGGAGAAATGCGAATCCTTCACTTCTACTTCAAGCTTGTACTGATGTTTAGAAGACCAATGGAAGTCTCACGACCAAATCATCCAGCTCAGGGATTTATTATTGTTTTGACACAGGAGGGTACGAATACAAAGTTGTTTTTGTATTACGTCAGTAATCAAGTTTTCTTGGATTTGAATGCATGTTATCCAGTTTTGTGCATTGGGATGATTTTATTTGCTAAAATGTTTCTACAAGATTAGTGTATATCGATACTATTACGAATTCTACTACTCTGGCTTCCCACTGTGCTGATGTGTTGTGACAACTTTAACCGATGGATATGTACGCCAGTTCTACGTTATATATGACCGACTGATATACAGATGATGAGACTACCGAATGGGTTACACTGAAGTTAGGTGTAGATTGCTAAGTGCATATGGTTAGTCCGTCATGTAGTTTGATAATATTTAATGAATAATATAGTTGCAACATAATTTATGGATTCCGTAATAAATAAATAAGACTTATTCAGATTTAGGGATTGTTGATTTATTCTATTTCAGTACTGAAACTGGGCCATTTTGCGTCCACAATAGTTATCTGTCCACTCATTTCTTTCTTGTGAATCTAGACCATAGAATTTCAATTTCGGAAAGTTAAAGAGAATCATTTATATTTGATTTGACAACAGCATGCGAAGTAGTCACTTATCTGAACTAATATTAAGGTGATCGAGCACCTTAAAATAAAAGTTCTAAATATTTTGTTTTATTACTACTTCATATTAAGGAGACGTATAAATAATTTAGGCATTATACCTGTTACTGATATGAAAATGTAGTATTTAATGTTGGATTGAAAATGTACGTGTGGATTGTGAAAAATTAGTCATGATTTCCTATTTTTCAAAAGAAGTCAACCTTTTTTCCACCTTTTTATCTTCAGGGTCTGCTGAATATCTTCTTCTCCGACTGGGCAACCAAAGATATTCGTCTTCATTTACCGTTCATTTACAATGTAATCAGCCAAGCATTTTACTCCTATCCACCTGCCTTTATTCATTTCGTAATAAAATTCGTGTTGTTCATTTTATTGGGTCTGAGAAACCTTGGCACTGTGAACTGGACAAATTCGGACAAGTCATTGTTCGTGATCCACAAGTGTTGGAACTCCTGAATTTTTGCAGCACTGGTGGAATTTATTTATGACCCACGTTCATCCAAAACTAACCCTGGTGAGGTAAGTGAACTACTCATGAATACGTCCCTCAATACACCATTATTAAACCAAATATAACAATCCAGAACTTTACTTGTATCATTTATCGGACAAAATGGTTCTACAAACCAAAAATAATCATATCTTGTTGAAAAATGAATCTCTTCAAACCTTTGAGGGATATTAAAGAGTTTAATTTTTTAATTATGTTATTTATTAATAACGACTGATAACTGTTTTGTAGTTTTACTTTGTATTTACCGGTCAATAGCTCCATGTTCAAAACCATACTTTCTGAGTGAGTACTGTCAAAGTTCCAATTTTGTATTCGGTTGTCGCTGAAAGGCTGAATAACTTGATAATACCAAATCCCTTCAAATTCTCCTTGTGTTTTATAACATGTGAGAAGTGTTTATCAAAACTTCTGAATTAAGGTAGTCTATTACCTGTCAGGTTAAGCACTAACTTCTGTCGTAATAAGAGCCTAAAATTTACCTATGTGGATGCTTCATATGATCAGTTTATGATTTTTATTTACACTAGATACAAGTTTGTGGGAATCAGTTGTTTAGAGGAAAAACTAAGTTCACTGGAATGCTAGATCACAAACGATATTTAATAGTATCATTTACTTAATTTATTGGTTCAGATCTAAAATAGATCTTCCCATATATTAAGTTTTTATTCTAAATGGTATAGTAGCTAGTAGGTATTTGGAATTAATAGGATCATATAACATGGTGAGCACTTTTCCTATCGTAGGTAACTCATATTCACTTGATACTATTACAAATTCTTTCAAAATTCATCAATAATAATCCTTAAATTGAGTCGAGCATAATTAATTACACTCACTTTTATGTAATAATCTCTATCCTTTGTTTATGGGAATAAGTTTCACTATTTGCTACCAAATAATACTAAATGAAAAGCTAGTTACCACACAAGAGTATTGAACAGTTAATGTGAGTTATCATTCATTATCAAAAACAATAGACCCTAGTGATAATAATTTCATCAGAAGTTACGTAAGTACCGTTGCTTAAATTTTATTGGCTTTTGAGATCAAACGTATTAATAGAGGGGGCAGATTTACTATGCTGCAAACCCATCAACTGTAACTCTATCGTCATGTTATTTTAAAGTTAACAGCTTTATCTCAGATAAAGGAACCAAGTTTTACCACTATTTCTAAACTGACACGAAATAAGTCTACATCTCTCCTTGCTTTTAAGATGCCTTGTCTACACAGTATTGTTTTAAAATGGAATTTGTCACGTTTGCGATGTTCCTAATTTGATGGAAGTTTCAACGCCTTAACTTTTATAATAATAATAAAACTCATACTTTACTAACGAAATTTTATGTTGGAGACTCCTAACCATATTCATCACATGTTTACCCGTCTGGGCTTCTGAAAGCGAATTTGTTTCATTAATATTTCATTGAGGTTACTATTTACAGTTTTGAGTGGAAGGAGACGTTTTACATGGATATTCTTTTGTTATTTTGAATATAGCTGGTTTGTTGAAAAGTTCATTTTTGTTTTCCTTTACAAAAATCAACCGTTGAAATGATATTTGTCTGTCCTAATTGACTTTTTATAGACTTTATCAACGCTGCAGGTAAGAATTATTCTGTGGATGTTGTCAATTCTCAGAAGTCGTTATATCACCTATGTTTCTACCATTACATTTTAACTGTCGTTGGTTTATTCTAACATTAATTATTATTTTTTTATAGAGTAGTGAAATGGTTTACTTGTCTTTTTATATATTTCCGGAAAAAAATTAACAGAGCGATTTTGTGGGTAAATTGGCTCAGATTGAGATAAGCCAATCTTCCTCAAGCTTGACCCAAGCCAGTGATGAATCTGAAAGACAATTGGCATGGGAACGTGGGCAAATGGATTATATGGGTTCTGATTCATTTGAAAAAATACAAAATCTTCTGGAATCAAAAATCAAAAAATAGAAACTAGTATATAGTAAGTAAGTAAGTAGTAATTAGCAGCAATACATATGAGAGTAGACGCACGAGTTATGCAGACTGAGCATGCATGCATACTTACTAACATTTTGCTACGCATTGAATACCCAAATTTTTAACTGCTGCTCACATGTTTTGACACATCAGTCTTATAAACAAACAGTAATAACTCCTAATGATTGCAATATCTCTTGTTCTACATAGATTAAAAAGAGGTATACCATAAACTGATTTTTTGAATTATTCTGCCTTAAATTATTCCTAATTCATTTTGCTTATATTTCTGCTCATTACTGTTTGTTTTCGATTTTGTGGTTAATTTCATTGATAATCTTGTGGATATATTGAACCAATGATATATATATATATATAATTACCAAGTATTTCTTCAAATTATTTCAATAGAATTAATAACTCATACTATTTCTATGATTTATTTCATTCTCACCATTTTGGTTTTCATATTCTTCTATGTAATTTTGAAGTGTTTATCTTGACTGTTTAAAGTTTTCAATTTCCTTTTTATTTCACTTTAATCTACTTTCATGTTTTTATGAAAAACTTCTTTGTATTTGAGTTATATATATATATATATATTGTTTAAGTTAGTATAATAGAATATTGTTTTACTTATGACAAGTACATATGTAGAGTGGTTCAATTTTTGTTCTGGTGAAATATTTCCTCTTGAATTTTTAAACGTTTCCCTTAAATTAGTATCTGATATTGTTCCACTAGCACTTTATCATGTGTGAAAGATTATTTCTTCTATCACATTATTCATTTCTTTCCTTTTACCATTACTTTCACGAATTTAGGCTTGCTTCTTTCTGGTCATTGTAGCTATAAAAGAAAAAAAAACAATAGCCTAATCAGTTATGATTTTTGCATTACTTTGATATCCACTCTTTTTTGTTGTTGTTGTTCTTGTTGATAAAGATGTCTTCCATTCATAATGTTTATGGAAAGTAAAGCAACCTGTAAATTTTCTTCATGTGTTCCTTACGTTCAATTTAGTGAAATAGTAAACAGAAATTGTTTATATTTGAAAGAAAAACAATTTATTCAATTTTTCATAAATGTATTTAAAGATGCTCTCTAACAAAACAAAAAAAACACAGTTCAAAATTTATTAGCTTTCGCAAAAATGAAGATAAGTGAGAATTGTTCTTATTCGTCAAAAATAATACATTCTCAGGAATCATTTTTTTTTTGTTAAGTAAAAATAAATATTTTAATTCAATGCGTAGTTAAGTTTATCATTTTGTCCACCATACTAATGATTGAAAACGTGTTATAGTTTGATTGGTTATCATCATTTCTTACTTGATGTATGTAGATGAAGTAATTAGAATGGTATTAAATATTAGTAAATACTTTTTTTCAAACATATGATAAGCTTCTTCAAAATATAAGTAATCTTTAAGGAAATGTACCAGTTGCTTTCACATATGTCGTATATTTCACTTAATGGAGTGAAACGCCATTAAAATTCATTTGATGGATGTTTCTGGTTTCACTTTAAAAGAATTTACTTTGTCAAAACATTTCTCTGTTGTTATACTGCAAACTAATGTATATTTTCGAATGAAGATATCTGATCGTGTTACAATCATTTAAAATAGTAAATTTATTTGATCCCACTCTTATTCTTAATAAGTTTCCTTTTTTCGCCCAGGTATTTGTGTTACCTTTCAACAACAATAAAATACAAAAACTCAGGTGATATGTGAACGTTCTTAGTTTATAAAAAAATTGTCATCGTCATTTGGTTTTCGAAAAAAAATATGCTTTGATCTCGGTCAGATTATCAACTAGCCACTGATTTGTTAGAGAACTGATAAGATTTATTTGGTAGCTATCGTAAGAAAAATAGTCGGGCATGTAAATAACTTCGACAGTATATAACGTTCTCCAAAAGATTTTAATAATCTAGTCTTCATTTGAATTTTTATAACAAATGAGCATAATTCGACAGGGCAACTAAACTTAATATCACGAGATGTTTGTATCTTTTAGCTAAAGGTTTTGTAAATTTGTTATTATTTAACTATAAAATATCGTCCAGGAGAAATAAGGAAAATAACACCGTGCTTTTATTTATAGATTTATACTTCGTGACAATAAAGCCGTTAAAAGATTACTAGATGACAATAATATGACTATAAAATGTAGTTATTTTTTTCTTTTGGTAAAGTAAACGTTATTTGTGTTAGTCGACAAAATCTTTGAAGACTTTATCTGTTCAAAGATGTTATTGAAATACTGATCACTCAAGAACCGTTAATTGTAACATTCTTTATTGAAAATTACCTTAAATTCAATATCATGATTATCATTTCCAATCAACACTCAGAAAAGCATAATACATTAATATCTTCAGTGGAATAATAAAACTACTTACTCTTAGTTTGGCTTTTAAGTAATTAAATCTCTTAAAAAGTTATGACCTATAGTATGTTACATCTTTGGTGATTTTATTCGTATTACTTAATACCAGACAAATTCTCTTACTTCACTTGTTGATATTCTTATTGCCTTATGATTCTGAACTGAATTTACATAATAGATCAGACACTTTTAAATCACTTAAACAACCTGATATATGTGTATTTTTTTTGCTTTAGTTAAGAACTATGAAACTTGAACACTATATTTTATTCTATACCAAAAAATGATTACCAATTCTAGTTACTTTCACGGCAACATATATATATTCGCTGTAAATGTTTGTAGTCAACTTATCGATCTATAGAAATTATGCCCATGATAACAAACTTTTTTTCCCTAAAGATTTTATACGTAAATAACTAAACAGAAGAGAGAGAGAGAGGAGAAGAGAAAAATTTAACGATTTCTAAAGAAATAATTATTAGTTCGTCAATAAATAGAAATATTGTTCTCTTTTATTTTGGTAATATAAAATTACCATGACAGCTAAAACAACATTATTCAACTAGAATATTGAATAGTTTTGTTAGAATTTAAGTTAATATGTTACTTTAAAAAAAATATAGCATTTTTTTAAAGCGGATATTTATTCATATACTGTTTTTTTTCCTGTGTTTATTTTTTTACCCGTTAACACTGGAAAAGAATAAACACACTAAATTTGTCATTCAAACAGTGAAGAATAAAATGATGAAGCCAAAATTATAATAGATAATAGATTCATCAATCAGTTAAGATTTTCTAATAAATCAAGTCATTTTATTCTTATCAGTTTAGGGGTTGTGGAGATTGTTAGGTTTTTGATTGAAATCATGAGACAGTTGAAACTAGACCACCATGGAAAACCTTGAAGCACTGGAAGGCCTTTTCGTTCTAGTATGGGACTCCTCAGCAGTACGCATTCACGATCCCGCACCCTGAGAGATTCGAACCTAGGACCTATCAGTCACGCGCCAGGCACTTAACCAACTAGACCACTGAGCCGGCATTCAATGGTGTTAATGTCTAACCTCAACCAATCCACGAAATTGCGCGACCATCTTCCATTGTACTGAGGTAGACACCTGTTTCTACCCGATATAGATTAGCTCCACTGGTCACGGCTTCCTACCAGAACTCCGAGAATTTTCTCACGAAGCTAGTCACTAGTGAGCACATACTAGGACGAGACGATCTTTCAGTGCTTCCAGGTTTTCCATGGTGATCTAGCTTCAATTGACTCATGATTTCAATCAAAAACTTAACAATCTCCACAACCCCTAAACTGATAAGAATAAAATGACTTGATTTATTAGAAAATCTTAACTGATTGATGGATCTGTTATTTATTATAATTCTAACTGGATCATGATTCGATAGAGATAAAATGTAAAGCAATTAGTTCCTTCATAAATTTTGATAGAATAATGAAAAAAGAACTTCATCTTAAAATGTGATGCATTTGCGCTATACATTTAAAACAGTCTGCTCACAAACATACTTGTCAAGGCATTTTATATGAAAATTAATAAAAGACAGTCAAATACTTGATAATCAGAGTAAGTTCCTGTCGGAAGTTCTATTCAAAATTAATGTTACATAATGAGAATCCAGGATAAATTTCAATCTAGTGAAGCTCCTTAAAGTGAATGTCATAAACAAAGAGGAATTTGATTTACTAAAACCTAACAACCCATTACGACTATTATTTGTATGTGGTTCACCTACACACGAATTAGCAACACCGTAGAAAAAACCACTTTTATTATGTTAAGTTCAGTTCACGTTTGAAGGTGAACATTCTTGAGAAGGTGATAACGTTACTATGGGTAGCCGTTGGGGACCTCTCTTAGCTGATGAATTTATGTCATATACTGATATATCTCGAGTAAGCTCATTAGTGAGGTAACCTTTCATAGGAGATAAATGGATAATGTATTAGATATATGCGATAAAGATTTTGATGTTGCCCAGTAAACAGCTAAACTCAATAGTGTACAGAATGATATCATAATGACGCATGGGGAAGAAAGTAATGACCGGCTGCCCTTTTAGACATACTTTAAAGTTGAAGGGAGGATCGAACTACAAGGCAGTCAGTTTATAGGAAGCTAACGTGGGCAGATCAGTATTTAAATCTTCACAGTTTCTGTCCATTGCAACACAAGCGAGCCTTGGTTAAGTACGTCTTTAATAGGATTCAATGAATCTGCACCACAGATACGGTTGAATAGGACTCAAAGCTGCTAAATGACACACTTATATTAAATGGTTATCCACTAAAGTTTGTCAGTAGATGCAAAAGTCACTCAGCACCAAAAGCTGTCTTTCATTCTGTTCCGAAGAAAACTGTTTATATCTCTCTAACATTTGGGGGTGAGCCTAACAGTATAAGTTTAAGATAGAGATTAAAAGCAGCCGTCGAGAAAACCTATTACCTCACTAAACTGGTTGTGATCGTAAGGACTTAGCCCATGATTCCAAATAGACATAGGCAGTACACGAATGCTTATGTCCTATCCCATTACATTCGCCAATTTACATATCTGTGCGGA